GGCATCCGAAATTTGTGGTTTCAGGACGCACATCCATTCCAACACCAACTGAACTATCAGCATTCACTGACAGCAATTAAGCTGATTTAGTCAAAGAGGAAAAGGTCCACTAAAAATGGACCATATTCAGTACAGTCAAGTGAGGGGATTTCTTGACAGAGGTGAAATATACTCAGTTCAGGTTAGTAGTGGGTGTCTGTACAGCTTTAAACAGCGGAGTGGTATCAGTGAAGGTGGATTTTCTGAGGTGGAACTCCCCAAAGTGGAGTTCGCCAAAGTGGAACTTAGAGGTCCTCTGGTGCTTCTGAGATGAAAATACTAGAGATGAACGGAGAACTCAGATGGTAAAAGAAATCTAGACAAGCATCATTTATGCAGGTCGGTTTTTGGGTGTCGCGTGCTCCTTCCAAAGGGAATTCACATGTGCTCCGCCATTCCAGTAGTTTCTGAACCTGTATTTTAGTATGTCACTGGACATTAATTTCTTGTGATCTCTTGAGCCATACGGAAACATGCGTGACAATTAATTCAAGACAGCAGGACACATAAACTATGTCGGGAGAAGTAGTGGCCTACTCTTTTACATCTACGAAACCAGACAGTATCGGAAGGCATCGCGTGAGTACTCGCGATCCCACGCACACAAGACAGTATGGGTGGGCAAACAACTTGACAATGAGATGTCAGGACGTTTGTCAGCATACAATCTAGCTGATGACAGATCGCTAAACAGAAAATCCATCAAAAGTGCCTTCTTGGGTGGCAGATGATAACTGTAAACTAACGAAAATGACGAATTGGTTTCGTTCTGTTCGTATTTTTAACGAGGGAATTCAGTGCGAATGTGTGGTACTTCACAAGTTTTTTGTGGGAAACTTGGGAACCACCGTTTTTGACTTTTGCGTTTTTCACAATTTTCTATATTCCGCGAGATTTTGCATAGGTCCCCCACTATCGCGAACCGAAAGACAAGTGCTGTATAAATGAAGTGTTGAATTATTGTGCTAAACTTCAATGAATTTTGGTGGATTCCCGGAATGACCGTTTTGCTGACCACATAAATGACGTATGTTCAAAACCGCCGAGGAGATGTTGCCATCCACCGATTATTTTGTGGAGTTTTCAAATGAGAAATGGCCGATCAAAAGGCGCCTTGTGAATCCCGCCTATTTCATACCGATGTTAGTTTGAAATGACGTGACTGGAAGCGTCTCCAAGTACTTCAAAGATTTTTCTGTATTCACTAGTCAAAGATCTTCATGGTGATATATACAGGGATACTGCTATGTTTTTCTAAAGGTTTTTTATCCCACTTGAACTCGAGCACATGGTCCTCACAATCTTCAGTTTTCACATTGGAATGCTCTTCTATAAAATTTCTCAGTCGATCGAGATGAGGGCGTACTTTGAAAGAAAAATGTAAGCGAAGAGGCGTTTTTCATTATTTATACCTAAGATGAAACGAATTAGGAGTGTTCCTTGACATCGTCCAGCACAAATCGGATTCGTCAGCCCATCGAAAAGACGGATATTTGAAATATGGCTCAAAAAGAAACCTTCGTATCATGCTCAGCGAAGTGATACGAGACTACCATTTGAGGGTCCACGCAATAGTGGGGCATGCGATAATCACTAACGAGTTTGCTGTCAATAAACCACCCTGTGATCATTTTTGGGTAAAAGAAATACCACATATGACAAGTGGCAAACCGCCGTATACCTACTGATGAGGGGTACCAATGAGGATAAAGAAACTCTTTCCATTCGCTTTACTTAAACTAGCTGTATCTAATATTTAAGCCGAAAATTGCTGAAAAGGTCGCTTTCTATCACTCAAGTTGAGAGGACGTCACCACTGCTGTGGATAACAAAGTCAACGGCCTTTCACTGCCGCAAAAGTAAAGTTGTTTTAAGTGTCACATGGAAAAATAATAATAAGAGGGCTAACATGGCGACAAACTGCAACAAACATTGTAAGACAGACTCCCCCAAACGTATCCTCATGTATTCTCAATAGAAAGAGACGACAAGAAGATCAAGGATGCCATATCTTGCAGCCTTCACAGTTTACATCTAGAGCTTTGTGTAGAAGCATGGCTAGGAAGTAGATCACCGTGACACCACTTTAAATTTCTATACAAAACTTTCTTCCCCGGCTAGGTCAAAAGACCGTCGGTGTGTACAACCTTTGTCAAGTCGCCCGAACTTGTAGAGATGAATGAAACCCTAGTCCAAAGTCTCTCAGGAATACCCGATATCCGACGAGAACTCGTCGGTAGCAACCCATGGGGGCCATGAAGTCAAGGTTTCGGATGGCAGAAACCCAATGACGCCCTGGCTCTGCTATCCTTGAACTCTACAGGCCAAACACGAAAATAACCAGCCACATAATGTGACATGAAAGACCTTTGAGACCAAGTGGCTAAGCATTTTGTTACCAAAGGCAATGCAAATCAGCAGATGATACTTCAATATGGGAGATCCATTCATCAGCCCAATACACTGCAACCTGAGCTGACAACTAAAGGGTGTCACCAGCATACACCCCTGTGTTTGGGCACGTTTTCTTTGTGTCCTCGCTTTAGTCTGGTACCAGCTTTACTCCAGTGGGCGTTGCTTTCAGAGCTTCCGTCGTGTGATGTTGCAAAGTGACCACAGGATAAAGCCCAAAAATATACGAAAAAAATAGTTTTGCCAACCAATTAACTCGTGTCACCGCAGCGGGATATTTAACGAGAGTTGTTGCAAGTGTCGTTTCAAAAACTTAATTCATTGTAGATTATCCACTTCTTTAGAATTGCCCAAACTAACATTGTCAAAGCTGACTGGCTAACAGAATAAACAAATTTGGTTCTAATGAAGATCATTATGTACAAGTGGGAAAGTTAAAAAGAATTTTTGGCAGCGTAAGGGAATTTGGCAATATTTTACCAGACACTTCATCTTACGCTGAAAAGCCGAGAAGTACCTGGTACAGCTGTTTCATCCTCATAGGGAATCATCAGCAGTGAGCATCTCACGAAACTCCAGGAAGTCTCCATCCAGCAACCTCCCGGCTAGTAGTTTGTACAATTAAACGTCTGGCTACGAATGGCTGATCAGCAGTGTGATTAACTCGCACTGTTAAGCATGCAAACTGCTAGTTACGTGAGGTGCTCACTGCTCACGGCTCAAGTGAATCGCGAGTTACTCTAACTCCCGGTAGTGGTCTACCGAAGAGTATTCAGCAACCGTCTCCACAACGTGTTATTCCAACAGAACATGCTTGGATTTCCTGAGAATCGTTCTAAATGAAGCAAGAAGCCACGCCTGTGCAGCACATTCGGCTGGGGAGAATCATAAAGGAAAGAAACTTTTGGATTTCGACTCAGACTTCCATTAATACCAATTTGGTTTGCAATCGAGTATACTTCACCTCATGTGTACAATTTCAAGTTAAGACAGAAGACGGGACATGGAAACCCGGGAGCTGTATCTACCTGATGAATCTTAAGGAGAGCGAAACTGCTGGGATGGGGGCTGTCGAAGAGATTCCAGCAATCTTATACGTATCGCCTTATGTCAAGGACACCTTCTTTGATATGACGTCTCCAGATCTCAGTAATCTACTTTGGTATAATTACGTAGATATACAACACGAACTAGTGCAGATCACAACAAAAAAGGAAAAAGCACTCAACCAGTTGACCCGGTTTGTTTCTTCATGCAGGTACCAAGGGACGTGATGATTCAGACCCACCCACAAATTATGGGAAATCAATAACCCGAACACCCCCCCCCCCCCCCAAATGGAGAATCAAACGGAAATAAAATGAAAAATAAGTCCCACTAATGTATCATCATGCAGTAATAGCCCTTCTCATTAGTAGGAAAGAAGAGTCTTGGCACGCCACAAGTGTCACCCGAGTACAGTGTACGCAATGTATCGCTAAACATTCATAATGAATGATAAAGAGAAAAGATTAATGACTGTGTGGGGCAGTTTGCCCAAAATGCTAGAATAAAGCACAAGAGAATGAGTCACGCAGAGCCCGGTTACATGCGAACTGGGTGTGGTCACTGCTCTTTAGTATGTTCACGTTTTACAGCCGGTGCACCAGTTTTTGCGTGTAATCACTGAGGACGAGCGGATATTTTGAACGTTATTTTACGTTAAAAATTATATCCGATGGGAAGTTTTTGCTTGTTTTTGCCTCAATCAGTTTTCACAGGCAACTCACAGCTCACGAAAACAAACTGCAATTATCTGGGTCAAAAACAACCATTTGGGACTAACCAGTCATTTAAAATTCCAAACACACGCACACTGAAACTGCTTAGAAGCTGGATGAAAACATGAACTCAAACGAGTTTGTGAGATTGGTAAACGGCAGCGGAACCTTTCGCGACAAACTTGGTCGACAAAGTCGGAAACAACGGCATTTAGCAACTACCGAAAACACGCCGGTTCCAACTGGAAGGCATACGAAATCGAGCACTTTTCGTCAAACGAAGTGTTAGTAGTGTTAGGAAGTTGGTAGAACAAAGAGTTTCTGGCTGCCACAAGAGCCCTTATTGATCTGGCCGAAGCGTGGTGGAGAATGTACAACAGGCTTCGATCCTCACACTGTTAATTTTGCAATTCCACATAAAGGTCAACGATAAGACCGGATCAACAACTAAACTAAAGAGGAAGGCAGCTCCATGATGTCATTCGATCAGTTAATTAGTCCTATGAACAAATAAGCTCTTTTTCTCTGAAGATGCCGTCAAATAAATAACATTGTCGTGCACCAGTGTATTCTGGTATCTAGGTGAAATTTTTGCATCAGATCAGTTTTACTATGTTATGTGACATTTCAACACTTCGGCACAGAATACACCGTATTCGAATCTCAGTATAGCAAATTCGCACAGAGTTTGCGCAAAAAGCGGTGTTTCCGATGGAGATCAGCATCCGAAACAAAACACGATTTCCAGATAAAGGCGAAGTAGTGATAACGGAAGTAAACACCACTTACGGTTTGGACACGATCCCCTCGAGCAACCTGTAAACCAAAAGAAGACGAAGTGGATAAAGGACTAGTTAGTTTGGAAGATGAGCGATCACATCGACCGCCGCAATCACGTTCCTGGTCGATCGACAGTGAATACACATGAATGAAACTAGGACCATCCGACCAGAAGTATGGTGTGGTGCAACGTCGCATCATCAAATAGCACAAACAAAATGACTAACAAGCGACTGACTGATAAACAACGAGATTCAGGGTGCTTCATTGTTGATGCAAATTACGAACGACAGACACGCCTGATTCACAGCACTGTGACGTTGAAGCGGACCAGATCTCACGCACATGGCCACCAGTCATTGATGCCGGACAATTCACGGACACAGTTGCTTAGGTGCGTGGCCTCCAATCTGAAACAGTGGTGCAGGTGTAATCTTTATTCGCCGAGAAGAAAATTGATATTGATTATCCACCGGATATGTGATGTGTCACTTGACGCTTTTTCTTTATCGTCAGCCTGAGCTTCAAATTGCGATACTCACATTCCAATTTGATTACCACGTAAGTTTTAGAAAAACCTGCAAGAAGCCATTATGCTTAAAACGCCAGTCAAGCACCCTTGGACATGAAGTTGATTCATCTTGTACCGGTAGTGATTGCGATTTGACAAACAGATGACTCAAACGTCTGTTTAAATTTGTGCACCATGTCCACTCGTTGGGTCCCGAATTCCAACTGTGCGTTGAGTTCGTCTATTGGTCCTGCTGCTCGTTGAAACACCGGATCGCAGAGCATTGGTTCGACCCACAGTCCTCATCCGCTGCGCAGCCAGTTGAATCACTCTCATTCGCATTTTTAGTTGTACTCTAGGCCGAAACCGAGGCAGTAAAGTTCGTAAAATGCAACGATTATCTGTCTGAATTGGTCGAAATTAGATTTCACACATCAATGTGCGCAACACGAATCGGATTTGGATGGCCCTAAAATTCATTTGATGCAGAATGCCTATGCAACTGAACTGAAAATCTGAAGATTTGATCGGATGGAAATGGCATTTCGTGGCGTTTTGTGGCGTACAATCAATCACAAACAGCATCCCACACATAACGAAACAAAATAGGTTACATCGGTTGAGTGTGTGCTTGTGACTCGTCCCGGAAATGCTCTGTTTCCTACTCACCTTGACTTTGTAGGTCTACCGTACTACCGGAAGTTACTAATCTCTCGCATTTTTGAAATCATCTACCCAGATCGATGAGAACAGAAAAGGTAAGGGCGGACGCACACAAACTTCGGAAAAGTAGACTAGCTTTAACAAGCTTGCATAATGACCATTCTGCGCAGTAGCCTTCACCACGTCAAACTCCTATCGGGATGACTGCGAAAGCGTGTAGAACAAGCCGATGTCATTAAAGTGAAGTTCACACAAACAGCCCGGGATGGATCCGACGATGACTCAGCAACTATGGGAGCGCGGACAACAATGACAGCGCACGCGGTGTTGAAGCGAGATGAGGGTGACTGAACTGGTGCGGTTTGGTAAGAGACGGAGGAGGGGACAGGAAGGAGAAATAGGGCAACTGCACTACGTGATAGCCCTGATGACATGTAAGACAAATGGATACAGGCGGAAAAAATTGACTGGAAGTCAAATTATCGTAGATATCACCATCCCAAGCATACACTACTAATGGAAATTGGGGGAAGTGGCAGTTGATCGAGGCTGGTTTCTGTGACACCCTGAACAGACATAATGTTGATGGCCTTTGAACCAAAATTATGTGGCTGGTTTAGTAAAGTCTTCAGGTGGAGAGCCGAATGATGTAAAGAAATTATGTCAAACCACAACACGGCCAGAAAGTTGTTTTTCGTGTTTGCTGCGAAGCGTAACATTAACCTTACAGTCTTTGTACACCCACAACGCTTTCGTCCGTAGAGGAGGAAAGCGTTTCATCCGAAGTCGTCAGGTCCTACCAAATACCCTTAAAAGACTGTCTATAAAATAGAATAAAAACATCATCAGCAAAAGATTCAGCTGAGTCCCAGGTAAGTCTCTCATAAAAAAAACATTTGTTTGCATTTCGCTAATTTCGTGCAATTTGGTCTCAAGTAAAACATATGGTTGGTGGAAACTCGGGGACCGCGCCTACCCGATGAGCCCCAAGAAGGACAAAACCGATCGTGGGCTGTCAAAGAAGTTTCAGCAACCTTATGAGTAGTGTATTACCTCTGTAGTATAATCCCAC